GAGGCTGGGCCTGAATTTTGCCTGAAACTCTCAGACTGAAGAAGTCTCTTGGAGGAGAGACGAAACGTTTCATTAGAGAAGAACCCGTCCAGAAGACCTATACTATATTTTTTCTTTTTTTTATTAAACAAGCAAAATACTTTTGTTTAAGGCATACATAAATGTTTCTCCACACTGACACAAAGAGAAAAATCTGATGGTTGATGTTGCTGAATAATAATAATAATAAGACAACACCCCAAACAGGATCTTAACATCAGAGAAGCTCCTGACCTCATTACAGGACGTCCCGTACGAGTGTTTGGAGTCGCAGTCGCAGTGCTGACAGCCGAGGCCGCTCGCCATGTTCCAGGTGTCCGGAGCGCAGCGGTCGCAGTGTTGACCAATCACGTTGGGCCGGCAGTGACACTGACCGCTGCTGCGGTCGCAGTGGCAGTCGCTGGGTGACTGACAGCTGGAAGAATCACTGCCCAGCTGATTACAGACACATTCTGTCATCAAAACACCAGTGTTAGTTAATGTTTTAGACACTTTGATATTAGTTTCCTGTTTTTATTGAAAGTTCGTGATTTATAACATAAAATAACATTAGTGTTAAGTCATCATGATCAGTCAAATATGTAAAAAAAACTTGTGTGATTAAATCCTTTCATAATATGACAGATTTTTATTTAGTTACTGTCAATTTAAAACAATTCAGAGAAGCTCATTTAAGCCAGTTACTGTTTTTAGATAAGAACCCTCTCCTCACATCTTTCTGTCTTGGTGTGTAATGAGTTATTAGTGATCCAGGGACAAACGAAGGACTCACTCCTGCAGTCTTGAACCAAAGCATTTCCATAATAACCCAGTTTGCAGCTCTGGCAGGCGGTGCCCTCGCTGTGGTACAGGCACCGCAGACACTCGCCGGTTTGAGCATCACAGGACTCGGGGTCCAACATGTCGATGTTGTTGTTGCACCGACACGGAAGACACTGCCCCCCCGCCTCGGCTGGGTTTCCATAGTAGCCAGGTGAGCACCTATCGCAGCGAGCACCTGGACGGGACAGGTGAGATCGGGACAAAAACACAAAAACTGGTTGAAACTGTGGCTGAAGCAGGTTTATTAGCCATCACCACCTTTGGCTGATCATTGTTATCGGATGTTCATCTCATCTCCAGCTCCCACAGGTAACTTTGAACATTGACTCTATTCAGATGATCCATTTTTCCTCTGTTTTTCACCATCTAACTCGTTCCACCATTTTTATGAATTCAACAATTCATATATCAAAATGTGCACCTCATTTATGCCATAGATCCTATTACTTTTGGTATTTCAGCAACTTAAACTTTTTCAGCTATTTAGCTTTTTTCTGCATTTTTTCTCTCATTAAAAATAAATAGAGCTGTGTCTTAAAACCTTAAAACCTCTCAAAGTGTTTTTAAATTTTTACTGTACATTTTACAGTTTGTTCTGTTTCTGCCTTTTTTTATACTTTGTGTGCTAATTTCAGCTTTTTTCAACTCCTTTTATTTTTTTATTATAATTTTGGATTTTTCTACTTTTTCAGTAATCTTACTGCTTTTTCAACTATTCTGATGATTTAGGACGAGAGAACGCGACAGCTAGCATTAGCATAATTGATGCTACAT